AAAAGTATGTGTGTATTTTCCATGTCGAGTGAAATGTGAAAATACCGCTGAGGTGGCGACACACAAGCACCCCGTTCTGTCTCCAGCCTCATCTGGTGTGAGTGCCGTCTGCTTCGTTTTCCTGGGGACACGAGGTCATGAAGCTCACTCTTTCTCAAATTCCTGGGGTGCGTTACGGATTTGCAAACCATTAAATCTACTTAGGGTCCCCTGATGCTCCAGCCCTGGGCTTTTTGTAGGCATTACTAATGGTGTTTGTAGTGATCTTAAACACCTCTAGTGCGTCTCACGTTTTATGTTTAGAGACAGAGTCTAATTTTTGAGTCCTCTCTGCCACTTTGTCCCCAAGTTTGTGGTTAAGGAGGTAAGATTTGGGAGAGACTTTCACCTGTGCTCCAGGCCCTGCCCAGGTCAGCGTTCGCAGGCCACAAGGAAGGTCGCGGGGAGTCGCATGGGAGTCTCACATTAACCATGTTAAAGGGATGATAATTCTTATCCCCGAAGACAGCAGATCCATTAGTTACACTCTCGGTCTGTGTCTTAGGGCCAGCAGGAAGCCATTCCAGATCCTGAGCTGCAAAATAATAATTTTATGATGAGATCAGGGGTAGTTTTATTTCTAGCCTGTTTTAAATGAGAGAAGATGACAGGCCTTTGCCAGGGACTAAATCATTTCGTTCTAGGCTTTGTATATAATTCATGTAAAATGGATATCATAAAATATAAATAAAACACTAATGTGTCACATAAAATAATTCTATGGTGATAGTTAATGATGTAACTAAGCTGAATAATCTAGACACACCAAAAATGCCTTTTTAAAAATATAAACTGTTTCCTCTGTCATTGAAAGTGAGTGTGACCAAGAGACACATCCTTGCATTCTACAGGCCAGTGCCATGGCCATCCTGTCCTCACAAGGAAGAGACTTAAACAAAACAAATGCATGAACAAAAAACTCTTTTGTCCTTCTCAAATATTAGGAATGATAGAATCAATCCCTTTGCAAAGTTTAACACATCGACTGCCATGTGCGTTATATTTAACTCGTGCTAGTTTTGACCCCCAGGCCTTGTGAAGCATATGTAACTCACACGTCTCTACCTTGGGAGCTGCATGAACTATTTCTCAACTTGCATATAACTCGTGCACAGAAAACAATAAAAAATAACAATTTTTTCCTTAAATTAGGAAGGATTGTTTTGTTTTCAAAGTTTTTATTCTGTTTTCGTAATAAAAACACCATGACCCCAAGAAAAAAAAATAATTTTTTCTAGTGTGGTAGTCAGTGTGTTAAGGATCTAAGTGAGTACTAAAGGTGCCAACTCAATGGAGATAAGGTGTTTATCAGGAGAGAGCGAGGTGGTTCCTCACGATTAGGAAAAGTCGTGTGTGAAGAAAGCACTTGCAGGCTGCCAGCCACATAGCTTCCCCCAACTACCCATCTTCTTGGGGAAAAAAAAAATCACCCTTTCCAAAATACTTTACGTTCAAAGAGCTCAGCTGTGGGACATGACTGGTGCCTGGGTAGACCAGCCGCATGGGAGCTTTTGAGAAGAAATGCCTCTCTTGGGGCGAACAGGACAGCCTAGTTGGCGCTGAGCTCTCTCTGGTTGCTGCACGCCGGGACTGTCCACTCTCCTGCCAGCCTCCTCTTTCGCTGTCATGCCATCGTCCTCGAGCAGGGGCGGTTTTGCCCCCTCCCCCCCAGGGATGGTTGGTGGAGTCTGGAGACATTTCTGGATGTCACAGCTGGGAAGATACCATGGATGCTGCTGGCGTCTAGCCGGGGGGAGGCCAGGCATGCAGCCAAGCGCCATGCAGCGCACTGGATAGGACCCTGCACCAGAGTCATCCGTCCCCCAATGTCAGTAGTGCGGAGGGTGAGAAATCCCACTTTGCCACCGTCCATGAAAGCCATGATTCCATCCAGTGGAAGCCATTATTCTGGTTGTTTGATTTGCATTTGTGCGCACTCCTTTAACCAGGGCTCAATTAAGTCATTTAGCGAGAATATTTATTCACTCGCAGGGCCGTGGGGGAGAACTACAAAAGGAAATCACCTGTGGCCTCAGCATTGCCAGGTTGTAAATTCTTAATGGGAAGGCAAGGTAAACATACATTTAAAGAAAAAAAAAATTCCACTTTAAAACGTTGTTGATTTTTTGTTCCTGGGCCTTACTCAGGGATATTCCATCAACATTGGCAGTGCATACCCTTTTTCTGTTTTTGCAGGTTGTCAATTCAGATAATATAGTGTCTCAGTGAGCTGTTGCCACAATGGTGCTTTATAAGTGCATATTCTCACTGTCTTCGTGTTACCTGAAATGTACCGGCTCCAGGCTGGGCATGGGGCTGTCCCTGCTGCACCTGTGTTTGCTCCGGGGCTCAGGCTTGGGGAGAGGTGACATCAGGCTTGGGGGGAGGTAGCATCGATTAGAGTCTGAAGCTCTTCTCATGGTGACGGCAGAAGTACCAGGGGGGCAGGCTCAACAGGAAGCATAAAGTTTGTTTCCCTCACCTCTGAGGGCATCCCACGGGCTAAGACATGTCACACAGACACGCTCAAAATCAAGGTGTGGACAAGTATACTGACCTCCCTAAGAGGCCAATGCAAGTGACATGGCCTCACGCAATACCACTGGGGATGGAGAAAAATATTGCATTTCTTTAAACTAGTAAGTTCATTTAATATTTCCCTTTCAAGTTTAACATTACAAGAATTTTTTTTAACTCATTTGGGTTTTTAAGAAAATTATTACTATGTTTAATTGTAAAAATGTGCTTGCATAAAATTTACCATCCTACCCATTTTTAAGTGGCATTAAGTACATTCACACTGTGGTGCAGCTGTTACCACTGTTCGTCTCGGGAACTCTTTTCATCTTGCAGAACTGAAATTCTGAGCCCACTAAATAATAATTCCTAATTCCCCTGGGGATTGAATACTTTAAAAAAAAATAATGTAAATCAACCACCTATGTATGTAGTGAATACAAGTCTTATTTTTATAGAGATGATTAGCCTACAGCATGCATTTATTAATGCAACTGTGAGCCCAACCTATGTCTAAGGGATAGTCTGTGCAGGGTAGGGACATGTCTTCCGGATTCAAGGACGGTTCCCAAAGTCTGTTTCACCAAGACAAGGAGCCTCCTCGCATGGAATGCATTCCAAGTCTAGTCCCAGAAGCAGGGTGGCCCAGAGCCAGAGGGCCAGCGTTAGAGGAGTGGGTGGATGTCCAGAACCATGTCCATCCATCGCTCAGAGGGGAGTCTACCTAAACCCCAGCTTCCAAGCAGCAGTACGTCCATCCATGGGAAAGAAGACAGTGAAGTGGGTTTTTATGGGGACCTACGTGGAGCATTAGGAGTACGAGGCATCAGCAGCACATAGCTGGCAGCTTGGGGGCGGGGGAGTGGCCAGGGCAGCAGCCGGGCACTGGGCAGCACCAGGGGCTTTGGCAGTGTGGAGCCACAGTGCCCATGATGCAGACCTCAGCGTCCTCGGCATTGTCCCCAACGTGGTGGGACCCAGGTGGGGTGGGCAGTGCCTGTTGGAGCATTAGATGGACAGCCTGGGTTTGACTGGTGTTCCTGGCTCCAGCAGGAAGAAAGTCCTTGCTCCAGAGCCCTGGAAAATGACAGGTGTCATTCGTGGTCAGGGAAACCGGTGGGGGGAATTTCAAAAGGGCTGAAGTCTCCTCCAAGTGGGATGCCGAGAAGCCCTCGGAATACTGTCCCATGCCCAGGATAACCTGGGAGAAGAGTCCTGGGTTCTAGTGTAAAAACCACTGTTTGCTTGGGGTATGGCCAGGGCAACTCACTGAAACTCTCTGGGTCTTTGTTTTCCCATCGGAAACAAAGATAATTGGGATACACGATGCTCAAGGCCTTTTCTAACCAAAACGGTATTATCTGAATGTCGTTGACCTCAAGCTGGCCTTTAGGTCCATAACACCTCTTGGTTGTATAAAGTCTGTATTCCTAACGCATGTTTTTGTTTGCTCGTTTGTTTCAAAGAAATAGTCCATTTCGTATTTCTTTCAAAACATAACTATCAGGTTAAGCGCTCAAAGATAGGCACAACCTTTGGCCTGTGGAACTCGGCTGTTTCATGCAATTTCACGCGAGGGATTCAGTGGGAAGTTGCTCTGCATCCCCTCACCTGTACTGAGCACAGGGGTAGATTCATCTAAACTAGTGGCCTTTAGATGCAGTTGCAAATGTGTCTTCACGTAGTGTAGCAGAGTGTTTTTCATATTCATAATCTCTGTTTTGAACGTGTGACGGTCAGAGGGCCTCAGACAGGCGGGTGTCCAGTGTGTGTGCTCAAGCTGCCGTCCTCCCCTGAATTCCTCCGGCCCGCTATTCTTGCAAGGCACGCGATGCCATAAGGTGACCGTGTGTTGGGACGGTAGACAAAGACGATGGATTAGTCCCTTCCCTCGGCACGTTTGCTGACACACAGAGCTGTCCTGGCTGGTGGCCCTGTGCACTCTCAGTTTCACAGGGTTTATACATTTCCCTTTAAAAAGCTACTAAACCGAAACTCATAGTTAATTTTAGAAAGGAGATGGCATTGAAAATTGGATCTTCATGAGACACCTGTCTTTCTGGCACTCAAAGAGAGGATGCTTAGCTCATGCAGGGGCCTGCCTTCAACAAAGACATGATGGGGGGTATGGGGGGCGGACAATGTGTTTTGATGTTTGTAACAGAACCTCCGTTCTGGCTGAGAACACAAAGGAGAGGTCATGGCTAGCCACGGGGAAGGCAGTGTGTGGTTCGCGAACAAACCCACGGGAAAGAGGATAAAATTATTTGCCTAGCAACCTCTTAGACAAGTGTCTTCCCAGCAACCATTGTCAGGGGCCGGCAGGTTTTGAGAGCGACCCTGCTGGAACCTGTGCAAGGCGGAAGGAGGGCCCTGGAGAAGTGGAGGCGCAGCAAGCCCCAGCCGGCATCCTTCAGCTCCCTTTGTCTCCTTGCCTTTTGCAGGAAGATGAGAGTCCTTCCCCTCCTGCTGCTATTCCTGTGGGAAGCCCAGAGCCACTCGGCACCACCGCGGCCCAACATCGTCCTGGTGATGGCTGACGACCTCGGCATCGGGGATCCGGGATGCTACGGGAACAGGACGCTCAGGTTGGGCGACGCACTCTTGCGCACACACTTGGCTCTGAATGTGGGCGGTGGGCCCCGGAGGCAGTTAACAGAGATCTAAGAACACAGACCACGAAGAAACGTTCCAAACCCTCCCAGCGGCACACTTGCATGCATGGCTGTGTGTTCCTTTCTTATGGGCCATGGCTATGCTGCCCTGTACATGTTCTCATTTCCGTCCCCTTTGTTCCCTATTTTGTCTTTTCTTTTTGGTCTCTGGCATGGTTCTGGTTGGTTCTGAGGCTGCCTCACTCCATCCCGGCTTCCCAGCCAGCCACTCTCACCTCCATACCTAACTCTGCCACCCACCTAGGCCCTTCCTCTTCAGCCACCCAGGTTGTCCGGGTCCATCCAGGCTGCCGTAACAAAATACCGCGGGACCCAGTGGGTGGCTTGTAAACAGCAGGTATTTGTTGCTCACAGCTCTGGAGGCTGGAAGTGCAAGATCCCGGCATGGCAGAGGCTGTGTCTGGTGGAGACTCACTTCCTGGTTCACAGATGGCACCTTCTCGCTGTTTCCTCACGTGGTGGAAGGGGCGAGGGAGCTCTCTGGGGTCCCCTTTATAAGGACACTGATCCCATCCGTGAGGCTCCACCCTCAGGACCTCGTCACCTCCCAAAGGCCCCACCTGCTAACACCATCTCTTTGGGGGTGAGGATGTCAACCTCTAAATTTTGAGGGGACACATACATTCAGACCGGGGCACTGAGAAACAGCCATGCGGAGAGATGTCACATGTTGCGATAGCATGACTTTTGATCACAACAGTTGGAAAAACATAACAGGAAGTAGACTTGGGAGCATCCGACACTTGCCTCTGAACATCCTCCCAGAGGAGGGTATTTGTTCCAAAGCACTCTGCCAAAAATCAACTTGATGTAAGACGTATTCGAAGGGCCCTTTAGTTGAAACAGGAAAGTAAGTCCTTGTGTCGTGAAATATCAACGTGAGAGTTTCATTTTCTCTTCCTAAAAATGAGGAAACAATGACATAAACACAGTTCTGTTGAGAGCTTCATCACACAAAAGATCAATACAAACTAAATCAAAGGAGAGGATGGGGAAATAAATCATTTGCTGTTATTACAGTTTTCTTGTAGGATCTGTGAATGCTAAACATCTGAGGCTGGGCATGGGCCCATGGGCAGGTGCCGTGATTTATTTTTATGTCATTCACTCTGACTTCTCATCTTTTCTACGTCACAAAACATCATGGAAAGTGTATATTTCACCCTTACATATCAGAAAGTGTATATTTCATCCTTACATATCAGATCAAATGAAAATTAAATAAATTATCCTTTTAAGGAAAAACTTGCCCATAAGACATAGCCAAATGTATCTGCATCAAATGTTGGTTTTTGTTTTTTGGTATATATTCCAGCCTATGTCATGGGTAAGATTTTTTAAAAGCATACACAGGGATAAGATCTGTACTCAAGGTTCTTTTAAAAGTTTAGTTGACACCACATGTGTTTTCTGCACCATGCCCTTTTGCCTAATTTTTATAAAAGTTTAGAGAGCACTTTTTGACATTTGTGACACAGATCTTATTGATTTAGTTTTTCTTATCGGCATAATTTCTTTTACTTTTTTCCATTTTATTTATTTATTTTTAATAGTATATATTCCTAAGGTTATTGAGATAATGGGTACCCATTCCTACTAAGATGTCTTAATAATTAAAAAATTAAAATCAAGGCTTTGAGGCTAAATCTCTACCAATTTTCAAAAGAAAATTTTATCTGTAAAATCCCACAGAAAAAAGTCCATAGCAGTATCTACCCTAGATCTATCTTGCTTTCCATATTAGAGTCCTATTCTTTCTGAATTACATTTCTTATTTTATATTTTATAACATCATACCCCAAAATAGTCAAATTCTTCCATGGGCCAGTCTAGGCATTATGAAGTTTAAGCCACATATACAGACAATTTCTGTCTTCTAGGCAATCTCATCCTTTAAGGCAAAAGCAGAGCAGAAATATTGACAGTTGAATGCATATGCTTAATTAATAGATGGCAAACTAGTCTGACATTACAAATGCAGTGAAATGATTTTCCTCTGTGCATGACTGTGGCACTACTTTGTGTGGACACTGGTCTAGGTAAGCCCTTAGTGTGACTAGTGAACAAGGTGCAGCCTCCCACCCCACAGGCTGCCATCTTGGAGGGGAGCACAATTAGTCCTGTCATCACTTTATAGGGAGGAAGCTGCTGCGATGAGAGCATAGGGACTACTTACTGTCCTACGCATACATCAGTCCCATCCCATGGACGGGGGACCACGGGCTGACCATGAAAATTCCATCTGTGCCCAGGGCTGAAGGATGGAAGATGACCATCCAGGCAGAGAGGAAGGGGCCTGGGTTTCTGGGGGAGGATGTGGGGAGACATAGCTTGGTATGGTCCCAAAACTGGAAGATGTTAATTCCCGAATGACTTCCGAAGATGATCAGCCAATCCATTCATGGAGAAAAGGCACCAGGATGGTTTATCTTGCATAATGCATCATCCTAGAAGTGAAGTGATAAAAAAGTGTTTATTAAGCATAAAAAAAACCATAAGCCAACAAAGTGTGTATAGATGGATGGATAGATTAGGTAGATGATAGATGAGACAGATGATGATAGATAGATGATAGATGAGATGGATGGATGGATGGATGGATGAGATAGATGATAGATGGGACAGCATATCATTTCTTCACTATAGTTTCTGTCCCTTTTTCCTGGACCATGTTAACACATTTATTGATGTTCATTGGTAGAGGCACATGGAGCCTAATTATTCCCTTGTCCCTAGGAGCATGTGGAAATTAGGCAGAAGCTCATCAGAGCTGGTTGTGAGATTCCTTTTGACTGTGTATATGTGTGGTTTAGCAAAGAGGAGTCAGGCTGACCCTAGAGCCTTCTCTTTTGGGGGCACAGAGTTAACTTGGGGGACTCAGGCAGGAGAAGACTGAAATCTGATCCTCACTCATCTCCTACCTTCACTCCTTGAAGTGGTCCATTCCCCAACGTGATTCCCCTCTTCTAATCCAGGGCTGGAGGGAACAGGTGCTCAGAGCCCTCTTAGAACTTGAATGGACCCCCAGGAGATGTCCCACCTGGATCATTTAGACATCTCCATGGTTTTGCTCTACTTTGAATCTTGGTTCTGTGTCATGTCTTCCTCACCTCCTCTGCCTGCCACATTGTCTTTCTTGCCCACATGATCACCCAGTTGCCTTTGGTCATTTAGAGGTTTCCCATCACGAAGAACCACAGGACAGTTGATTTTGAAGATCATCACAAATGCCGATTCTCTTGTTCTAGGACTCCCAATATTGACCGGTTGGCCAAGGAAGGAGCGAAACTCACTCAGCACCTGGCAGCATCGCCCCTGTGCACACCGAGCAGGGCGGCCTTCATGACCGGCCGGTACCCCGTGCGATCAGGTAGCCTCCTGCCTGCATTGCTGTGGCTCTTGTCCCCATTGGGGCAGCCCCCCAGCCCCAGTGTTCTCCTGGTTCCTAAGGGTTGACTTTTCTTCCTGCTTCAGGAATGGCGTCTTGGTACCGTGCTGGAGTCTTCGTCTTCACAGCCGCTTCGGGAGGACTTCCCCCCAGTGAGATTACCTTTGCCAGGCTTCTGAAGAATCAAGGCTACTCAACAGCGCTGATAGGTATGGACTTCTGAGGAGGAGGAGGGGGTGGACTTGGGCAAAGTTAGCAAGAGAGTGTGAGAGGGCCTCACAGCAGCCTTCTTTGGGATGACTTCACTCATACACTTTGCACAACTTTAAATAGGAATTAAATGATTTCAGTCCCAGATTAGCACACAGTGTGCCTACATGGGCTATTTTAATGTATAGATATGTGTTCTTGTGTGTGTGTGTATATATATAGATAGATAAATGATAGATGATAGATGAGATGGATGAATGGGTGGGTGGATGGATGGATGGATGGATAGAGAGATCCATCAGTGGATGCATGACATAGATAATAGATGAGGCAGATGATGGTAGATGGTAGATGATAGATGGATAGATGGATGGATGGATGATGGATGGATGGATGGATGGATGGATGGATGGATGGATGGATGGAGAGATCCATCAATGGATGGATGAGATAGATGATAGATGAGGCAGATGATGGTAGATGAGATAGATAGATGGATGGATGGATGGATGAGTGGATGGAGAGATCCATCAATGGATGGATGAGATAGTTGATAGATGAGGCAGATGATGGTAGATGGTAGATGAGATAGATAGATAGATAGATAGATAGATAGATAGATAGATAGATAGATAGATAGATAGATGAGAGATCCATCAATGGATGGATGAGATGGATGAGGCAGATAATGATAGATGGTAGATGAGGTAGATGGATGGATGGATGGATGGATAGATCCATCAATGGATGGATGAGATAGATGATAGATGGATGGATGGATGGATGGATGGATGGATGGATGGATGGATGGATGGATGGATGGATTGATGGATGGATAGATCCATCAATGGATGGATGAGATAGATGATAGATGAGGCAGATGATGATAGATGGTAGATGAGATAGATGGATGAATGGATGGGCAAATAAATAGATTGATGGATAGATTAGATGATAAATGAGACAGATGATGAGGGATAGATGATAGATGAGATGGATGGATGGATACATGCATGGATAGATGCGATAGATGATAGAAGAGACAGATAATGATAGAAAGATAGATGATAGATGGGTGGATGGATGAGATAGATGACACAGATGATAATGGATAGATGACATATGAGATAAATGGATGGATGGATGAATGAGATAGATGATAGAAGAGACAGATAATAGAAAGATAGATGGATGAATAGATGGGTGGATGGATGAGATAGATAAGGCAGATGATGATAGATGGTAGATGAGATGGATGGATGGATGGATGGATGGATGGATGGATGGATGGATGGATGGATGGATGGATGGATGGATAGATTGATGGATAGATAGGTGGAGGGATGAGATAGATGATAGATGAGACAGATGATGACAGATGGATAGATAGATGGGGGTTGATGGATGGATGGATGAGGTAGATGATGGATAAGACAGATGATTATGATAACAATAAATAGATACGTACATACATATATACATAGGGTAGATCAGACAAATGGATGATAGATAAGATAGACAGGTAGATAGATGGTTGGATGGACAGAAGGATGGATGAGATAGAAAGATGACAGATATACTTCAAGGGATTATACAAAGCTACATATACATGCTATGCTAATGACAAGGATTTTCGTTTTATTTTTCAATACTATTAATAAAATTGTGTCAGAATTTATCCCGGTTGACATTCCCGTTGATTTTATTCCATTGGTGGGAATGATGTGTTCTCCCCTTTGGCATGACAGGCTTGGGTCTAAGCAGGTCAGGTCATGGAACAAATCCTAGAAAATCTCATAGGAGCAAAATGGCCCTTCTCTTTCCTCTGACATCTTGTTATAAAACCATTGTCTCTTTTTTTCTTTTATGAGGCACTCATTAATTTCATGGCATAATTAACATTTTATAAGACATTTCCAGAGGTGTTTAAAATAATTGCTAAGTTACTGAGTATGATTTCCTCATGCCCCAGGGGTTGGTTTTTGAGTAAGAATTCACTTCAACTTTTAACATTCAAGGCACAAAATTATGCTGGTTCTAAAACATTAATTTTAAGGATATATCTTAGAAAAATATCTATCCAGAAAAAAAAAATCTTGTATTTTTCTATGTAGTTCTGTTTCCTGCTTATTAAAGACATTACATGGTTTTGTTTTTGTTGTTTTTCTCTTTTGCAATCACTGGTTTAGTTTTTGTTGGTTTTCTTTTTTGCAATCACTAAATTAGTTCTTATTTTCCAGTAGCATGAGTGGCTGATACGTTAGTGTTTGTAGAAGAGGAAGTAAAAACCGTAGGGTCCTATGAGTGGGGACCTTAGCTGCCCCTAAGCAGAAGGAGCCAGCTGTTCTGTGTGGGCATCAGAAGCTGGTGTTGGAATCAGGGCGTTAACCGGTGTCACCAAGCAATTTGTCTCCTCAGGGAAGTGGCACCTCGGGATGAACTGTTACAACAAGACCGATTTTTGTCACCACCCATTACATCACGGCTTTGATTACTTCTACGGGCTGACAATGACCAACCTGAGAGACTGCAAGCCTGGGGAGGGCACCGTCTTCACCATGGCCTTCAAGAAGCTGGTCTTCATACCCCTGCAGATCCTGGGGATCACCGTCCTCACCCTCGCCGTGCTCAACTGCCTGGGGCTGCTCCGTGTGCCTCACACGGTCTTCTTCTGCCTTCTCGTCCTGGCGGGCATCATCCTGGTGGTCTTCCTGTGCTTCCTGCACTACTTCCGGCCCCTGAACTGCTTCCTGATGAGGAACTACGAGATCACCCAGCAGCCCATGTCCTATGACAATCTCACCCAGAGGCTGACATCGGAAGCAGTCCACTTCATTCGGAGGTGGGTACTGCCTTTCCTTGCAGCACTGCCTGTGGGGAAGCATGCTCCGCTGTGTCCCTGGGAAGCGGGGGAAGGAGCAGGGTTATGCCAACTGCACCATCCCTTCCCTACTTAGTGTATTTGTCTAGCCAGGGGCTCTGGAGGAGGGAGGTGGAAAAGGACGTGGCCCCTATTTGGTAGCCTCAGAAAAGAGTTGCCATGCCATGAGCTGTCATCACAGTCGCTGGGCTGGGGAGGCCGTGCCAAAGTGATCTCTGCTGATGACAGAGGAGGCGTCTTGCAGCACTGTGGTCTTTACTCTTGAAATGTGGCACCCGAGGGAAGAAAGGTAATGGTGACTATCTAGTCTAGAAGTTGTCCTTGTGATATAAACAACATGGAAAGATCTGTCTGAAATATTTTGGGCCAATCTCTAGGCAAAAAAAAAAAAAATACTCTGTGAGAAAACTAGGTGAAGTGAGTTATCACTTTCGGATCTGTTGGGTCCCATTGAGTTCATAGTTTGGGGGTTGCTGTCAGCAAGGGGATAACCGTGAACCGAGGACCGGCCAACAGTCCTGAGCAAGGTAGACAGACACGGTACATATATGTATTATAGTATGTGCCATGTGGAGCTTACAGATACAGCGATGCAGTATGAGGCTATATGAGGAGCACTGTCTATTCAAAACAAGCAAATAAACCAATAAAACCATTTTGTTCTATTTGTAACTTTAGAGGACAGCACTTGAAAGAAAAATGGAAATTTCATCTCAACATCAAAGCTTCGATCTTTATGGTGACTTAAACTGTAGGGGAGATTTACAAGGGCTTTCTTGGGTGATTTAAAGATTATAAAGGAGATAGAGATGATACAGATAACAATTAACCATATGACCTGAAATTATAAAATCATTCCAGATGATGAAAGGGAAGTTACTGTGATGGGAGGAAAGTTTATCAGGGATTTAATTTAAAAACAACCTTTTTTTTTTTTTTTTTTTCTGAGACAAAATGCTCAGCCAAAGAAGAAAATACGTAGATAAGGTAGGCAGAAACTACTTAATTTAGGGCTGGTGGGATAGATAAAAGGCAATTTACTCTACAAAAGTTATGTGGTGGTTTCCTTACATGGAAGATATTGCATTCCCCTTTCTGTTTCACGTGTGTGAAGAATTGATGCTCTACTGGAGGTCTGGAATGGGGGACGGTTCCCCCAACACTCTCCTGCCTTCAGTTATAAAACAGTATAAGGGTAACGCATTCGCCTTGAGATGCAACTGTGCCTGCACCCACGACATCGCTGGCTCTGCAATAGGTAAATCATGGGGCAGATTTCAGTGTGCCTCTCTGGTATTACAGAGGTGTTTTATACGGCTCTGAGGGAAACTCACTCATGACGTGGCTGTCTGAATAGACCATTTAAGTGACTTACACAAAAGTTCCACTTGATAGTATCACATCCTCTCCCTAAAAATAAGGCAAAAGTATTATAGAATGATTAACTCCTAGAGTTCACATCACCTCCACATTTCAATGTATTTTCTTAAAATCTAAATTGTAACTTAACTTTGAAATATAGAAACAGGTTGTTGGTCATTTATATTAAAAACTGTTCTTAGTTTCAGGCTCTGGGACTTGGTTCCAGAGAGTAAGTAAGTATTGTGTGTACCAGCTGCCCCACTGCTCAGATTGTACACATGATTGAAGTTTTATTTTTGGTTAACATCCCACTTCTGGTACCAATTTCTGTGTTGGTCAGGTAAGCCTGACAACATTTCACTGGATTAGCACTTGAGAATTTATTTCTTGGCCATGCAAAATCTATTACTGATCGGGTAGTGCTCCAGCAAAGCTGTGCTCCATGTGGAGACTCAGGGATCCAGGTTGCTAAGATCTCATGGCTCTGTCGTCCCAACAGATGGCCTGTCCAATTGCAGCCACAAGAGAACAGAGTTGGAGGGTCACCTGGAGACTTTCCCTTATGTCATGGTGAGAGCAGTGCATATTGCTTTGATTTAGGGCTCACCTACGTCACTTGGCTAAGGTGCAGTGGCCCTTTGTACACAGCAAGAAGAAAAGGAAACGCATCTTGGTTAACACGTAGCATCATCTACCATGAGCAGTGACTTTTCAAATTTGCTTTAAAGCTGAGGAATATTTCAGCTTTAAAATAAATTTGAGATTTTATTAGAAGCTAAGTGTGTCAGAGGAGTAAAAGCCGTAGTGCTTAGGTTAATCTGGGACAGAGAACTACATTTGGAAACTGCTGACATTTAATAAAGCCCCTATGGAAAGATAATGAACAGCTGGAGAGAAAGGGCAGAGTCGGGAACAAAAACGTAAAAGGACGTGTGAGCAAACACCTACTTAGCCAGACTCGGGGCAAGTTGACGTTTAACAGACATTCGTTAAGTGCAGAAGGCATGCATGTCAGGAGGAAAGTCAACACGAGACTGCAATTTTAAAAATGAGGGGCTATTTGAGGGGAGGGGATGTGAATGGAGGTTGAAAGAATTTGCACAATTTTATAGAGAAATGAAAACTAAGGGGCTAATTTATTATAAAATTGCAATCATGCAGCGCATAACGACATTTGGTTAATTGAACCACATATACGATGGTTGTCTCATAAGATTACGATGTAGCTGCCCTATACAGATGTACCATTTTTCGTCTTTTATACCGTGTTTTCAATGTTCCTTTTCTATGCTTAGGCATGTCTAGATGCACAAATGCCCGCCATTGTGTTACACAGTTGCCTACAGTATTCAGCCTAGGAGCTGTGGCTGTACCACATAGCCTGGTTTTGTAGTAGGTGTACCATCCAGGTTTGTGTAAATACACTCTAGGATGTTTGCACAGGAACGAAATCCCCTACTGATACATTTCTCAGAACAAATCCCCATTGTTAAGTGATACGTGACTGTGTTGGAAGGGTTGACGCAAAGTATATCGTTCCCCAAGATTTTAGTATTTTCATCAGAGTACAATAGAGTATGTTAAAGATAACAATGTAAATAGTTTGTTTGTATACATATATTTATTTAATTTTCAACGGGATAAATTACTGAAATTGATTTCCAACGGAAGTTGTAGGACATGTGTATTTAGGGCAGCATCAAGGATTAATGTAGAGAATAAGGAGGGTCCTGCCCAGGGTGGATGAGAACCACTAAAAGTACCCTAAGTAACTAACTATCCGTCTGTCAGAATTCGGGTCAGACATGGGCTGTTTGTCATGATTTGCACAGATTTGGGTTGACAAGGCTTGCTCCTGGAGGGCTATGGGTTATGCTTGGGCATTGTTCCTACAGCCTGGGTGGCCGTCCTGGGTGAACTTTGGAGTCCGGTAAGCGTGGCTGCGTCATGCCGCACCTATGCTGACAGCTGGTCTTACCCAGGCATCAAGTGCTGCAGAAACCCATCGGATCCTGCTGGCAGCAAAATGGCATGATGACAGACATAATGCAATTCCAGAGAGAGAGAGAGACAGAGAGAGAGAGAGAGTGAGTTCAAGCTGTCAATCACACCCTGAGCATTTTATTTCAACTGTTATTCGCAGAGAGATACTGCCCAGTGATCAGTGCCTAAGGTCAGCCCACACAGGCTGACGTGGGATGGCCACCCGCCTCCTGGGCATGGCGCTTGGTTCAGAACTGTCCTTTGCTAGCCTAGGACACGGTGGGACATCAGATAGGATCATTATGACTTCCTGCAGGTAGACAGAGAAGGGCAGAGGAGGAGAGTCCTTGACTGTGGGGGTAGAAGATAGCATACATGGGTTTTAGCTCCTGTGGACAAACGCCACGATTGTGTGTCACCTAGATTTCTTTAGAAGGTGATGCCAACAGGCAATTTAATGTAAAAGCTAAAGAACCTCGTAAGATACACATGTTACGTCATCCACTAATAAGAGGTACACAGATCTGACTGAAATAAGAGCTTCCTAAAATGATCTGTTATTCTTACCGGGGTGGTCACCTCTGATACTTTCTTGTCCCACCCTGCTCTGTTCTCTTCCTTTAGAAAAGGATCTGGTTGTGACGCTAAGTTAATTTCCTGACTCACCAGCGGGTCACAGGCGGCATGACTGCCGAAGCTCTTGCCTGGTGGGTGAGCTTGACTGAGCGTTGTGAGTAGGAGCACGGCCACTCCAGGCTGGGGCGGCGCTCCACGCCGACCGTCAGACCAGTCCATTTATGACAAAGTGTCACACACGGGACGCTGTTTGGCACATTCGCTGGACAGCTGGACATGCTTATATAGCCCTTCGTCTACTAGCAATCCCGCAAAACCAGCATGGAGATTAACACAATGTCCCTTATAGCACCACATCAGAAGTGACACTCAGCTTCCAGGGTTGGGCGCTTGTTATAGCTTGTTATGTTTTGAAATGCTCTGACCTGTTGAGTAGATGAATATTCATATGATTACAAGGCATGTTAATGGATTCCTCAGTGTATTACTTTGGGAGGAGATGAAACAAAATTTCATTATCATCAGGATGTGGAAGCCGGACCAGATTATCTTGATTATATTGAGGTTTCTGCAGTTTTCTTCCAGAACAAGACATTTAAGATGTTCTAGCAATAGTTGGAGGTGATGGTTACAGAATTAGTAAAAAAAAAAAAAAAAAAAAAAGTTTGTTTTCTTCCATATAGATGATTCTAGTATAAATAGCTACTGCCCACATTGGAGTAATGCATGGTCAATATCAGTGAAAATACTATAATGGCATTTTGTACACTGCGATGCCATTCACAAAAAGCTTCTTATAGACATTATCTGAAGACACGAAGACTTAAAGCGTCTATGTAAAATTATCGTGGGGGAATTTTCCTCCTGTGTTCTGTTAGTTATCTGACTCACTGAATTAAGAGAATGGCCTTGAAGTGCCACCAGAGAACCCTGAGCATGGCGACGGCAAACGTTCTTTCAGAGACCCAAAGGCACCTTTATACGCGTTCTCTCACCACGCAGAACGTCCTGAGCCATTTAGGCAGGTCTTATTAGCACCT